GGCAGATCTGGTCTGCTCCACTCTAAAAGTAAGATCCTGTTGTTTGGAGAGTGACATGGCAGAGTTACACTCGTTCCAGACTCGGCTGTGATGACTTCCTGTTCTGGAAGAGACAAACACACAAAGCAGAGAGGTTAAAAGGTATAACCGTTCACTTTTGCAGCTACCTTCTATCACTGATAATCAGTGATACCTATATCGGTTAACCAAGTAGTTTAGTGAGGAGGTATGCTGCAGTTATGAGAGAAGTACACAGTTTAAAAGAAAAAAGATTTCACTGAAGATTTGACTCCATCTTACAGAAACACTAACCAGGTTTAATTAGGCTTCACTTGATCACAAGACCTTAATATGAACTCACCCACAGGGGTAGGAAGCTGTGCACAGGTGACGGCGATGAAACATGTCCATAAGAGTGAATGACACTTTCCAGCAAACATTTCTTCGAGTTTGTCAATTTAAGCAAACAGGCAAACAAAAAACTAAAGTTAACCGCTAAAGTTTATGCATTGGTTTTCAGCAAAACTAAGGGGTGGAGCATCACTAACGGGAAGCTCAGTGAGCGGGGTTCCCCATATGCATGTGATCAACTGCCGCTGAAAAAAAAGAAACATTATAAAAAAAAAACCCCTAAAATCCCCAAATCTCCAGTCAGAAAAAGAATAATCTAAAGGCGTTTTCACACCTATGAATTTCATTTACTCTGGTCCAAATCACTTAATGAGGTTGTAAACTTGTAACTATTCCCTGTGCTTTGTAGAGATGGGAATCTCAATACTGATGTTTTAAAACTGTGTCAAACTTTTGAGGAAAAGATGTTTGGATATGCTGCTCCAAAATGTGGTTCAAAAGACCCGGGTCACGTAACCACGACGAAACAAGGTTTTGGTGCTCTTCTCCCTAATTTCAACATGTGGTGTACCTGCTGCTTCCGGGCACTGCGAGGCGCCAGGATTCCAATTTTTATGAAGCAGACAGATTTGTAATTACTGATTCAATATGTTTTATTATTTCTTTAATATGGGTCCTAAATGTCCTTTTAAAAATACAATTTTTAATCCCACATTTATCTTGACATCAAC